GCTCGGAAGGGGGTGCGGGCCGGGAGCGCGCTCCGGGCTGGGCAGGCAGCTGCGGCCTCGCCGCCTGAGGGCTACCGCGCGCCAGGCCGGTCTAACTTTGGGGGTTCTCGCCGGCTCGGCTCTGAGCCTCCCGGGGGTTCGTGCGTGTGTTGCGGGTGGGGTGCTGTCATTGGACTGGATCTGACCATAGCCACCTCGATCAGAAAGTGCTGGAAAGAAACGGACCTGGCTTTTCTGCAGAACCTGACTTGAAGCAATGAGTCACTTTAAAAAAATGCAAAGGCAACTGAGGCATTGAGGGACAGCTCCCAAAAGGGCACCTCACAGCTGGGTCTCTGACTGCTTTGGGTGGAGGGTTATTCATGGAAGTAGCCGCATTATCATCACTTTTTGGGCTAATAATCGCATGTTCAGATGGACTTTTCTTCATTCTCATCAGAGTGGTGTTTGGCATCACAAATAGGCTGCAAATTTTAGCAGTATTTGAATTGATGCATTCTTTAAAATGAGTAAATTTGGGTGACTGCGTTTAGGATATTGAACTAGGATTAGGTCCAAACAGGCCAGAGCGGGAGATGAACACTTAGCAAAAAGATCAAGAGCCTTTAGTTATATAGTCATAGGGATGCAGAAGCCTGGGGGACTTATGCATAACAGTTGACCAGAATTGTTTGCAGAGTACTATTTCTTTACAGCTTATATAGGTTTCTTTTAATTTAAGGAACATGCCTTAGAGTTCTTGGTAAAATATCTAGGCCCACTTAATGTAAGATTACAGCGGTGGAGTGATCTTGGGGAAAATTGTTCTTATATTTACTAGAGTCTAATTAGACTGGAAGCCTCTTGAGGGCAAGGATGGGGTTTTTGGTAGTTACAGCCCCAGACAGTCCTTGACTCAGAGCGTGTAATGAGCAGGCAGTAAAAGTTTGTTGAAATAACTTGATAACTTGAGTGTGGCTGGATCATGACTTCTTGAAGATACCACATATTTTGCGAGGAAAGACTACTCCGTGAATCCCCAAATTTAAAAATCCTTAATAAAATTAGAATCACGATGTCATGTAAATATTTATTAAAGATAAAGAGAAAAAGAAATTGACTATGAGAAATCATGAAGGTGACTATCAAGGTGGTCTTGGCCAGTAGGAAATAGGTTTTTGCTGCTCAGTGTTGAAGTGAGAAGTAATTTAATTTGTTGATTTAGAATAAAGTTTGTCAAACTTTTTGAGTAAAGGGCTGGACAGTCAATATGTAGACTTTGCTAGCCATATGGTCTCTTTAGTAACTACTCAACTGTGCTGTTGTAGCTTAAAAGCAGCCATAGATAATACATAAAGGAATGATGGTGGCTGTGTTTCACTTTATTTATGAATTCTGAAATTTGAAGTTAATATAATTTTCACCAGTAACAAAATAGTCGTCTTTTTTTCCCACGCATTTAAAAATGTAAAAATCATTCTTAGCTTGGGAGAGGAGAGAGAGACATGAAAATAGGAGGGGAGAAGGGGCAGGCTTGTCCTGTTGCTAGTAGTTTGCTACTGCCATCTACCATGTGAGAGCTTGGAGAGGAACCTTTTGAAAGGATTAATGGGTCAGATTCTCTGAGTGCCTAAGTCATATCTGGAAATTAAGTTAAATGCCTTCAAGAGTAGCATTGATTTATTTGGAGCATTATGGTATTTTGTTTTGTCTTGAGTATTTCCTAACAGACATCTTTATGCATGACATTTTGTTTTTAATTCATTAATTATGTAATATTTTATATATGAAAATAATATGCTGTTTATGTAAGCTTTAAACATTACATTTGGGGCTGGCCCCGTGGCTTAGTGGTTAAGTGCGCGCACTCCTCTACTGGCGGCCCTGGTTCGGATCCTGAGCGTGCACCGACGCACCGCTTCTCCGGCCACGCTGAGGCGGTGTCCCACATACAGCAACTAGAAGGATGTGCAACTATGACATACAACTATCTACTGGGGCTTTGGGGAGAAAAAGGGAAAAAAAGGAGGAGGATTGGCAATAGACATTAGCTTAGGGCTGGTCTTCCTCAGCAAAAAGAGGAGGATTGGTGTGGATGTTAGCTCAGGGCTGATCTTCCTCACACGCACACAAAAAAACAAACATTATATTCAAATGACCACCTGTGACCCCATCACATTTTTAAAAACTAGAGCTTAAGAACTAGATAATTCTGAAAAGATAATCCACAGTATAGGAGAAAATATTTAAAAATCATGTATCTGATAAGGGACTTGTATCCAAAATATATAAAGAGCTCTTACAACTCAGTAATAAAAAGATAAATAACCTGATGTAAAAATGGTCAAAGGATCTGAATGGACATTTCTCCAAAGAAGATATACAGATGGTTGATAAGCACATGAAAAGATATTCAACATCATTATTCATCAGAGATATGCAAATCAAAACCACAATGAAATACCACTTCATACCCATTAGGATGGCTAGAATCAAAAAGTCAGATAATAAGTGTTGGTGAGGGTGTGGAGGAACTGGAACCCTTATACATTGCTGATGGGAATATCAAATGGTGCAGCTGCTTTGGAAAACAGTTTGGCAGTTCCTCAAAAGTTAAACATAGAGTTACCGTATGATACAGCAATTTCACTCTAAGTATATATACCCAAGAGAAATGAGAGCATATGTCCACACAAAAACCTATACACAGATGTTTAAACCAGCACCAATCCATAATAGCCAAATGATGGAAACAATCCGATGTCTATCATCTGATGAATGGATAAATAAAATGTAGTATATCCATACAGTGGGATATTGTTTTGCCATAAAAAGGAATGAAGTACTGAGACATGCTACAACATGTATGAACCTTGAAAACATTATTCTAAGTGAAAGAAACTAGTCACAGAAAGCCACATATTGTGTGATTCTGTTCATATGAAAATGTCCAGAAAAGGTAAATCTGTAGAGACGGAAAGTAGATTAGTGGTTGCTTAGGGCTGGAGGTTGGGGGTGATAGTTAAAGGGTACAAGGTTTCTTTTTGAGCTGATGAAAATGTTGTAAAATTGACTGGTGATAGTTGCACATATCATTGAATTGTGCACCTCAGATGGGTGAATTGTATCGTATGTGAGTTATATCTCAATAAACCTGTTAAAGAAAATAAACAGAAGGCTAGAAAAAGAGAACTAGATTGTTACCTAAAATGTGGCGTCTTTCTTTGTGCTCTTCTTCTATGCCATTCCCCATGTCCCTCCTATCCCTGAATTTTGTGTTAAACCTTCCCTGGTTTTATTGTAATACAGTTTTATGACATATGTATGTATTCCTAAACAATATGTTGTTTAGCTTTGCTTGTTTTTTGATTTACAAAAAAGTGTTATATAATCTTCTCACTTTTTAAAAACTCAACATTGTTTTTAAGAATTTTCCATATTGTTGCATGTAGCTATAGAGTATTTGTTGGCGAATATTCCACAGTTTATTTATTCATCTTCTTATTGAAGGGCGTTTGGATTGGTTCCTGTGTTTTGCTATTACGAAGAGCGCTTTTGAAGACTTTTTTCCATTTGTCTTGGCATTTCTATGTAAATGTGAATGTGCCATGTATTTTGATGATTAAAAAAAAAAAAAACTTGATTCTCCTTCTGACTTATATATTAATGGTATATACCCAGCCTGTTCATTCCCCCAAACTAGATAAAGTGATTAGAGCTGAGATCCTGACTTTTCATTCTGTTTAAATTCTAATTGTAATATCTATTTTCTCATGTCCTAAGAAATGTGGAAAAACATGATCTAAAATTTTGCAACTGAATTTCACAGCAGGACCACTTAACCCAGTCACTCATGAGTCTTCGTCTCGTTTTATCACCTGAGTTTAGGAGGGGACGGAGGACAACTTTAACTATTAAATCAAAGGGAGATTACTTTAAGCAAGGTACATAAGTGGTTATTAACCTTCACAAACATTTTCCTTCTGTGTGTATCTTGCTGGGTAGTCCAGTATTTCTAACATGATTTAGTTTGGTTGTTCTGATAACAAGCAGCCAACTGGAAATCTGGTGTTTAAGCCTTGGGCGCTTTCTAGGTCTGCCCTGATTCAGGCTCTGTGCTTTTGCAGTTCATTCAGGATGTTTCTACTTGTACTTAGGAAGAGAAGAAGCACCCTAAGGTCAGAACAGGCCATTATAAAGGAATTTTTTTTTTAAGTTTTTTTTATTGTGGTAAAATATACATAATATAAAATTTACCATTTTAACGTGTACTGTTTAGTGGCATTAAGTACATTCACAAAGTTGTGCAACCATCAGCACCATTGATTTCCAGAACTTTTTCATCATCCCAAACTGAAACTCTGTACCCATTAAACAATAACTCCGCATTCTCCTCTCCCCTCAGCCCATGCTAACCACTATTCTACTTTCCGTCTCTGAATTTGCCTATTCTAGACGCCTCATGTAAGTGGAATCAGACATTTATCCTTTTGTTACGTGAGCTTTTATATCCAGGGGGATTCCATCTTGTTTTGTTTTTCTTAAGTAGATCCTTTTCCCACTTATGGAAAACGTATCTTCTTTTACTGAGAAATTACATAATAGGACAGTTTCCTTTTCAGTATACAACCTTATATAGGAAGGAACATAGGAAGTTGGCTAAAACCAGAAGAACTTTTGGTTATTGTGGATGGG